TTTTATTTTTTTTAAATGGTACGTTTTTATTTCTGTTGGCATAGATCGAATTTCATTTATTTTTTCATTTTGCAGGGTGACTCAGAATTTAAACAGAATTTGAACAATGAAGATGAACAACAGTACTTGGACCATATAAAAAAAATATTAGAAAAAGGACACAAAAAAATGGACAGAACTAGAGTTGGCACACTTTCATTGTTCGGCGCTCAAATGCGTTACAATTTAATGGATGGTAATATTTATAAATACAATATGATTTAGATAGTTATCAACGAATATTTCAGAATATTTTATCAAAATGTTTGATTCTAATTACTTAGGTGTTTTTCCACTGTTGACAACAAAAAGGGTGTTTTGGCGTGGTGTCGTTGAAGAATTATTATGGTTTATTAAAGGATCAACAAATTCTAAAGAATTATCTGAAAAAGATGTAAAAGTTTGGGATGCTAACAGCACACGTTCATATTTAGACTCAATTGGACTTACCAATCGTGAAGAAGGTAATCTGGAAGTTTATGATTACATAAATGTAGACACATACAAATGTTTTGTGAATAATGATGATTTAATATAAACGAYAATATATCTACCATTTGTATGATCATGATTTATGTAAAGATATTTCCTTACACTGATTAATATTATACAGTACTTTTACAAATTTTATTAACTCAAAAAAACATTAAGGTGACTTGGGACCCGTTTATGGATTTCAATGGCGACATTACGGTGCTGAGTATGTAGATGTACACACAGATTACTCAGGGAAAGGCATTGATCAACTTCAAAACGTCATCAATACAATCAAAACTAACCCTGATGACAGGCGAATGCTTATGATTGCATGGAATCCATGCGATGTACCTAAAATGGCCTTACCACCATGTCATTGTCTGGTACAGTTTTTTGTCGCCGATGGGTATTTGTCCTGTCAAATGTACCAACGATCGGCTGACATGGGTCTAGGGGTACCCTTCAATATTGCCAGTTATTCATTACTTACATACATGATAGCCCATGTCACCGGATTGAAAGTAAATATCAAGCAGTATTTGATAAATTAAATATACAATCACTTTTTTTATAGTAACTTGCTGAGGTCAGATTTAAATATGTATTTGTTTAATGGATCTATTATCAGTCACTAAATCATTTTTTTAAATTTTATGTTGATGCAACCCATAATTATTTTTGTTGATAGTTTGATACTACAATGATATCATACCTATCATAAATTACATAATTAATTAGTTTATTTTATTTTATTGTTTTTAAAAATAGCCAGGTGAATTTATTCACACATTGGGCGATAGTCACGTCTATCTGAATCATATTGATGCACTCAAAATACAACTTCAAAGGAAACCTAAACAATTTCCCACACTAACTATCAATAGAGAAGTCAAAAGAATAGATGATTTCAATTTTAGTGACTTTACATTAAATGGTTATGTTCCGTACCCAAAAATATCAATGGATATGGCTGTATAAAGAGGATAGTATGGAATATACATGCATGAAATCAACATATATTTTAATAAAATAGTTTATATTGATTAATTTAAGTTGAATATATGCATACATAATATTTGTTCAAATAACAGTTGAACAACGTATACATAGTAATTAAAAATTTATATGAGACGTTCACAGCTTTTAAATAATTAAAAAAAAATAAAATTTAAGCATTTGAGCAGTACTAATCTTGGCATATTTTTTTTTTAGTTATAGATAATGTTAACCAATAACATAATATGAGAACTGTTAAAATAAGGTTTGTATATAGTATATACACACAAATATCATATGTATACAATATATATATTTGTTAATGTATATAAAATAATTTTTACTTAAAAAATGCGAAACATTTCATTTTTTTTTAAAAGTCTTATTATATTTTTATAAAACTAGTCATACTTATAGAACTAGTTAGTATGTAACAAAAAATATATATTGTCATGATAAAACAATAAAATATAAACTGTACACTTTATATAACAGACACCTGATCATGACATAATGTAACTTGGATTTTGCAAAATTTCATTTGACAAAACAAAAAAAAAAAAATTAAATAGGTTTCTTAATTACTAACTTTATGTTGAAATCATAATTTTATTATAACCTTTATATTACATCTATGTAATTAAAGGTATATTTAAAAATATTTATTATTAAAATAATATTTGTAACAAAATTAAAAATTATTATATCCAATGTTCAATAATGTAACAAGTTGAGTCTCAAATCACCAAATTTATAATCACAATATATCACTTTCCATATTGGTTTGCGACTGATCAGTGTCCTAAAAAAATAAAAATAACACTATACAGTATACATATCACAAGAAATTAAATATGCAACCACAAAACTACAAACCTGAAATTTAATTTTAATATTTATCTAAACATACTTATTATAGTTACAACTTTTTATATTACTTTAAACTATCAAAATTGTATTGTATGATACAATCTAAACTTTTTTTACTGAATACTTACTTGGATTTCCGGTTGGGTTTGCTGTGATGTAGAAAAGGGATTTAAAACATTAGGTTGGATTTGCATAGGGGAACCCAAATTAATGCTTTCGACCAACTGCCTTGATAATTCATTTTGAAATGAATCATTGTCTTCTACTTGGACTAAAGTCCAAATTGTATCTATATTAAATCAATATACTTTTTTAATGTTGAATATTTAATAATAATACACAAAAATCTATTAAATAAAATTTTGTATGAATATTAAAATTCCAAAATCAAACATTCAGAGCTTATCAGTTTAAGTAGATTTTTTTAGTTTTTCAAAAAATAATTTAGTATCAGATGATGAGTCAACAATTTTCATTTTACAAAATGTTTTAGATTTAATATTTTAATGATCACAAAATTTCAGTCTGGACATTGTGTTATAGGTAATAATATTATGATATAAATGATTCTTTCGGTCAAGGTATCAAATAACAGTTACATGTGTTTAATGTCTTTGAATTAATTTTTTTTTCCCTTCGTATTTTATTATATAATTCTAATAATTTATATTAATAAGATAAAGCAAAACAAATATATTCACCTCCAAAATATGTTCCTGTTGGYAACATCATACGCCATTTAGATTGGTATGATCCTGGTTTAGAAGGTGTTATAAAATCAGTGCTCAGTGTCATGGTACACCCGGGTTCGAGAGTTGTTGTTGGCAACGAAGTGTAAACAGAAATGGAGTCGCCTCCATTGAACTGAAGAGTACAACCAGGTGGCCACTTCATGCGACCATTGTTCTTAACTTCCCARGATTTGGTGAACCTGTAGTGAACACAACAGAGCAAATGAAGACACGGGGTAAGAGTATAAAATAAAATATAAACAATGATGATTGTTTGGTTCATTAACTGTTGCTGTCGCAACACACTCATTACCGTAGGTTTGGTGGCAACTGCAGGACATTTTCACTGTTTTCATCTCTGACCAAAGACATGGACGGTATYGCACTTTCATTGTTAACATCAAAATATGTGCCAATAGCCCTGTGCATATTCCTAAAACATAATGTTACTCTATTTTAATGATTAAAAAATATTATCTGCAGGGCATTTTGCGGTTGTTCAGGGCAAGCATTGAGAATGATCTTAACGTGTAAGTTGTTATAAAGTCTCAAGAATCATTAACATAATTGAGGTTTTGTCTATAAGGTGAATAACCCATTAAATAAAATAAGAATTTTATGAATTATTAAACAATTAAATAAAGCTACAATAAGTAGGGTAGTCATATTTTAATTTACTAAAACCAGAACAAAATTTGTACCAATTCTCTACAGCCAACTAGATTATGACTCACAATGTTTAGCATTCTAAAAAACGTTTGTAAGGCAAAAACTAACTCAACAGTACAAACTGAAATGAGCAACCAATGGCAAAATTATCAAATAGTGATAAGTGAATTTAAAAAATGTCGATTTTCAAAAGGAAAACAATTAAATATTCATTAACAATAGTAGCCGCTGGGTAATAAAAATAATTTAAAAATAGATTTGGTCAATMAAATAAATAACTCGATAAATAATCAAAATAATATTTTTTTTTTATTACAAAAAATGTWTGATAAAAGACAAAATCAATATAGATTATTGAAGTTTGATTCCGGACATTGCCTGTCAGTAAATATTTCATCGGTAAAATGGGACACTATATTTAAGACCAGGACATGTGGCCTAACCCTAACTGTAAGAACTCTTAGGAATCGCTCAATGAACRAAACGTCATATCGCAATTCAATTTCACTTATTAACACGATAACGTTAATATTAGAAACACACACTTAATGACAAAAAGTCGAATTTGTAGGGATCAAGAGTAGCAAACCTTTTAATATCAAAGTGTCTTAATTTTATTCGCTATGCATATTAAGACCTTTTAGTTCTTGCTCATTTCTACGGACGATTTGAAATGAAAATGATATATTCAAACACTAAAAATAAGACGTATGTTGTGCATCTAGTTAGTGTTGCGGCTTSATGGTTATTCTTTTTTGCACGKTCGTGAGTTCCTCTGATAAAGCATGTGCACGCGGAGCCATCCCTGCTATAGACGTTTGTAAACATTTCCATTTTTCACTTACCAGTCGTTCATCTCCAGAAAGAACACCGCTGCGGACTCGGTTAGCTGATCGCCGATCAGTTCTCGCAAACCTTTAACCAAATTCTCCTTGTCCGTCGTACACAGACAATTGAACTGGCGCAAGAGGTTCTGGTCTAGCGGGTCGTTGTCCACATCCATTTTCGGTGATGTCGACACGGCTGGACGAAACGATAATTCACGGGAAGCGTTTGGAAAAATTATATTTAGGTCACACGAAAACGCATTAAGCGATTATTTTTTTGAGATTACGCTGTTCCTCTGAGCTCTGATATTTATTATTTTGTTATTATTATTATTATTAGTAGTAGTAGCGGAGTCGATTGATAAAGTGATTGTGCGCGATTGTGAATGGTGATACCACATAATTGATACACACGACACAACATACATACTTTACTTACTTCTTATGATTTTTTTACGTTATATGCGTTATACTGTAGTAGTTTAATCTCTTTTCTATGAGTAGTATAAAATGTCTATGGTTATATTGTTCCCAGTTGTCCGGTAGATTTCGCTCGCGTCTTCTGTAAATAATATAATATTAAATCACAATGTAGAAATTAAAGAATGAGAAGATTRAAGATTTTCATTTTTCTCTTCAATTCTTCATGACTTCATCGGACTATGGGAGACTATTCTTTAATCTATGTCGGAGACCGGAGTCTGCCGAGTACGGGACATAAATCGTATTATCGTAAATTTGTAATTCGCCCAATTACTTATTGACAATAAGGCAATAACATTTTATCCTATGATCACGGTCTTAGAATTTAATCTATTCTGTGTTAGAACGTCCAAGCCGTTAGGGTTTTCTCTATTAATTATTATTATTAGGCTGTATCTGTATCTTGATTCACGGGGCACAGAATAGATGAAAATAGAAAAATAGAAATTTGAAATTTGGTCGTATCWCTAGCGTAGATCAAACTGAATCTAGGACAAAATATCCAACGGAATAATTATATAAATGTAGTTAATATATTATTATATAATTAAATATATATATGTATAATTTTTAAATTTTTAGAAAATAGTGTAGGTAGTAATTTTTTTTAGCAAATTATTCCTATATTCATAAAAACAAATTGTTTTACATTTTATTTTATATTATTTGACTAATGTTTGTGCAGTATATTTTGTGATATTATTATACTACTAACGTAATTTATATATTTA